AACAATAAAAAAAACTTGGAGACATTTGAAAAGCTTACAGACAATGTATTTATTGTCTACCGGTATACAACAAGGATTTTGTGTCCTGCATTACACGTAGTACACACTCCATGCGTCGATAAGCGGCGTTCTGATATCTTCTATTAGCCCTGCACATGTCGTACAACCATATTTTGAAGTTTTTTTTTTTCGTCGTTATCTAAGTACGCTCCATAGACATCCAAGGCCTACCAAAGAAATAAAGCATTATCTTAAAGAGGTTGTATGCGACTGTAATTATTGTTTATCATTAAACTTTGTTAAAGTTTTAGATAAGTAAATTACCAAAACCAGGGTTCTCCATCATTTAAAATGTTACTGTGTTGCAGAGTTTACGCGAAACACTAAAAGTTCGCGATATTTTCGCGGTTAAATTCGCAACTGAATCACTATTCATTATAATTACAAAAGAATACATACACATGCTTTTTAAAAATCGATAATCTGTTACACAAATGATATTGCCGTGCATATTTATAAAAGTAAAAACACGTTCTGAAAAGCAGAGGAAATTCTGGTCGATACTGTCGAAATATACTTGTACTTAACATTTTTTGAAAGTAAATTTGCCGTGATTACTTGTCCGTTGTCTTGATCGAATTACCGAACTTCAGAATGGTAAAATACTTTTAAGAGTTCCTTGAACATGTTCAAAATTTTAAGCTATTTATTTACATTAATGAAATGACTTCGGTACGATGTTATGTTTGACTGTCAGAGCCACATGTAACATAATTCTAGAGCCGTGGCTCTATAGAAAAGACATATTTAAATATTTTTTTCAAAAATAATATATTTTATTTTTAGCAACTACCAATTTACCGTTATGGAAGTGTGAAAACAAATTATTTGTCTGTGTTCCTTGATGCGTTAAGTCCGGCGAGGGTCTAGGAGATAATTAATTTGGAAGGTGAAGCCCTTGTAAATAAGTGCTCCACCGTTTGGAATTAAAAGACGGCCGAATTGTTTGATTAAAGATTTAGTTAGAGAGACTTTACATGTTTAGATTTTCTAATATAATTATCACAGATTTTACTGTGTCGGCAAAATTTTAACTGTGTCGCATGCATGAAATTTGAATCGTTACTGTGTCGGAGAAAATTTTACTGTGTCGGGAGCAACACAGTAAAACAGCTCATGGAGAACCCTGCCAAAACGAATGTGCAAGAAAAAAACATAAAATGTATCACTTTGAAAAACCAACATACACTGTACATTTTTTGAAGAAATGCAATTGCATTGTACATGATACATTTACATGTACAAACCGTTACAAACCCTTGTTCTGTCAGCTTCTTCCCATATACCAGTCCTATACCTGGAATTGCTGTATTTGGCCTTGCTTCTATTGCTTCTCAAATTTATATGTACGTAAACCCGTTCTGTACCTAGAAAAAAGGTAAAAATATTAAACATTTAATAAATAAGATCAAAAGTTAACATGAAATTGGTAAAAACACAAACATCTTGATAAACAGATGGATTGATTGATTGATTATTTTTTTTTTACGCCGAGTCGGCAATATATCAGCCATATTTCGGCGGGATAAACAGATGGAAGAATAGTTATAAAGTTCAATATTGCGATGTATCATTACTGGATTAAACAAGGTGTTAGTAGTATAGACGTACACTTATTCCCTCCAACCCCCACTCCCCTCCTCTTTTTACAATGAAAGTCTATACTGTTGGAAAAGAGTGGTGAGAGCAAAAGAATATACAGTGGAAAAACAATGTAATGAAGTGACACCTAATTATGGGAACTGTGATTTAAATGACATAAAAGAGTGTGTGTGTGTGTGTTGGATGGGGGGAGGGGGGAACAGGGCCTCTTAACTTTTAGACATAGTAATCAGTGATTACGCATTCCGAAGTAACCTCAAAGAATGTTGCCTATAAGTAAGGAAAAGTTCTACACAACACATGTAGACTAGCTAGTAGCATGCATTCCTAGATGTAAGATTAGCACAAACGTTGTTTGAGGCTAAAAGACCTTGTAGTTTTTGTGTATGGAATCAGTACAAAACATTTAAAATGTTAAACGAATCACCCATCCAAAAATTGTTGAATATTATTTTATAAATGAATGTTTCCTTGAACCCAAAACGGACTTTGATTGCTTCTTCCAGTTATTACAACCACTACAAAACGTTTTCATGTTTGAGGTTATTTTAGAAAATATATATGCTTTATCCGTATTTTGTATGTCAGGAAGAATGCATTTAGAAACTGCAAACATCGGCTTTTTTGAAGTTCTGTTGACTTCTGAAGTCAAGTTTTCGGTACCTAAGGTTTCCAGTGTCCATGGGTTCCGACAGTGGCAGCATTCCCTGCGCGAGCAATTTCACAATCTTTTATCACAACTTAAGAGTCCAATTTGTTCTATCTTTTTTTCCTTCTTTGACGTTTAAATACCAATGATCACTCATTTGTATGAATCTTCCGGCATTCCACCTAACCATTATACCAATTTAATCACAGTTTCTATAATTAGCTCAGGGTTGTAACATTGTTCTCATCTCCATTGTTCCCTAACACAATAGACTCCCATTGTTAGTAGTTGAGTGTGTTGGGTGTAGCCCCTGGATGGGTATTGGCCAGAGATCTCGTACTGATATTTATACCCCCCCGCTTGAAAAGTATATAGTAATCGTTAATTCCGTCCGTCCGTCCTTCCGTCTGTACGTCCGTCCGTCCGTCTGTTACGCTTTGGGGTACCCATCTCTTATCTGCAACTCCTCTTATACCACTGAATGGAATTTAATGAAACTTTCACAGGATCTTTATTACATATTGCTATTGTGCACCTCCTATTTTACTTTTTGATCTGACACATATTTTGGGTTTCCCATAGCAAAACATGGACACTGCCATTTATACACATATAGGAGGCGGGGGATATCATTTAGTGAGCCAATTGCTCACAGTACCTCTAGTTTTAATAGTATTGTAATATGTATTGCAACATTTTCATAGTAATTAAAATTAAATGGATATGCTAGGTATCCCCCTGAAAAATATCGTTGGCTTAATTACACTGATCATGCTTATTCACTGAGAGGGAACATATTTTACTTGAAGATCATTGTAAAGATTACCCCCACACACAATAAATCAATAAGTTGCTACATTGGTTCACTGAATACTTTGCTCAGTAAGTACCAATTTTTGCTCTTTTTCTACAGCTGTTCTACCTTTCTTGGAAACATTCCATATTTTCGGCTTTACATTTGAGAGAGTAGGAGGCGGGTCTATAGAAAAGCTCCAATCAAATTCTTTGTCGTCGTTACTCAAGCCATCGCCATTTCGGTAAAGAAAGATTTGCAATGATAAACGCAGACGGTATGCAACGTTATGGTCCATGATCGACATCAAACATTGTGTAATTTCTCTGTTCCATACAATGTAAGGCAGAATTTCGAATAAATTTTGACTGAAATAAAATAATTTGATTAAAAAAATATTGATAGTATAATGATATTAAATGAGCCCCTCTTTCAGGAAGGTTTTTTTTCACCTGAAAAAAAATTTCGTTGGATGCTTAAGAGTCGCGTGCTAAACACAGCCATGGGTATAACTTAAAAAATAATCGTGACGTGCCAAGAAACGTAGATCACGTTAGATTTTTAAACCCCCCCCCCGCCTGAAAAGTGGGAGGGCATACTGTATTCGGTGTGTCCGTCCGTCTGTCTGTACGTCCGTCTAGCTGTACGTCCGTCTAGCTGTCCGTACGTCCGTCTGTTACGCTTTGGGGGTACCCATTTCTTATCCGCAACTCCTCTTAAACCACTGTGTGTAATTTAACGAAACTTTCACAGAATCTTTATGACATATTACCGTTGTGCACCTCCTATTTTTTTTTTTTGATCCGACACATAAATTTGGGTTTTCCGGCAACAACAAAACATGGACTTTTTCCATTATAATCATGTGGGAGAAGGGGGATGGGGGTGAGGTATCATTTAGTGAGCTCTTTGCTCACAGTACCTCTAGTTTGTGCCTATGTACACCTATAAGCTTTCTTTAATTTTACACTGTTTTCTTAATAAATGTTATTTTATCATGCTTTTTTGAAATGCATGATCTAAAAATGTTGCATTTTAGTATGAACAGAAGAGAGATTATGTTTAGCAAAAATTAATCTTAACTGTAAGGCCTGTCTACGAGTTTTGGGACAACCCTCATATTTAAAAATCTTCTTCACAAGAATCACTTAGCCAGAAGAGCTAAAACTTATGAGGAAGCAACCCGAAATAAAGTAGATTCTTATTTGTTAATATCATGAACCCTCAGGGAGGGACAACAACAAGAAATCCAAGTTCTACATGGAAAAAAATATAGGAACAATCTTGAAAATCTTCTAAGAATTACTGAACCGGGGAAAGTTGAAATGTATACGATAGCATCTTTTGTGTAGTGTAAAATTTAAATTGTTCAAATCTCGACCCCGGAACCTAAATAGGGAATCTACCTTTTACATTGAAAAATATAGTAAAAATCTTTGATAATATTATTCTCAAGAACCGCTATGAAGGAGATTTTACCTTTATATTACAATGTAATGCTTTGATAGTCCGTTGTAAACCCATCCTATGGCAGGGGATATGTTTGAAAAAAAATTGAAGCAACACCACCCACTTGAGAATGATTCACTTTAGTTTCCCCTTTCCTGGCCTAGTGATACATGTACTCGAGAAAAAGATTTTGTTTTGATTTTTTCTATATATTACTTTGAAAAACTTCGAACTTTAAACGCCTTCTGGTCCTACCTTACCACCAGAGGCATGATTTCATCAAATTTGAATGTACACCAGGCCTGAGGATGACTCCACATGAGTTTCACCTTTCCTGGCACAGTGGTTTTTGAAAAAGAAGATTCTTTTTATTAATTCATAATAATCAACCTTGGAATAAACTGTCCATTATCATTTGTAAGAACAATAAAAAAAAACTTTGAGACATTTGAAAAGCTTACAGACAATGTATCTATTGTCTACCGGTACACAACAAGGATTGTGTCCTGCATTACACGTAGTACAAACTCCATGCATGGAGGCCTTGATAAGCGGCGTTCTGGTATCTTCTATTAGCCCTGCACATGTCGAACAACCATATTTTGAAGTTTATCTCATCGTATTCTTTATACGCTCCATAGACATCCAAGGCCTACCAAAGAAATAAAACATTATCTTTAAGAGGTTGTGCGTGGCTATCATTTTTGTGTATCATTAACATTGTTTAAGTTTTCGATAAGTAAATTACCATAACAAATGCAAGACAAAAACATTAAATTTATCATTTCAAAAAAAAAACAACATACAATGTACATTTTTTGAAGAATTGCAATATGAAACATGAACTTGTACAAACCGTGACAAACCCTTGTTCTCTCAGTCTCCTCCCATATACCCGTCCTATACCTGGAATCGCTGTATTTGGTCTTCCATCCATTGCGTCTATGATAAAAGCATCATATTTTCTTGTGAGCTTGTAAGCCATTCTGTACCTAGGAAAAGTTAAAGTTAAAGATATTAAACATTTAATAAATCAAAAAACAAAACACGAACAAAAGTTTAAGTGAACTTGGTAAAAACACAAACATCTTGATAACTCTAAGTTCAATATTGCGATATATTATTACTGGATTAAACGAGGTGTAAGTAGTATAGACGACCACTTACATCCCCACTCCTCTATTAACAATGAGAGTCAAACGGTGGGGAGAGCTATAGAATACAGTGGAAAAAAACAAAGTAATGTAGTGACACTGACCTAGTTATGGGTGCTATGATTTAAATGACAGGAAGGCGTGTGTGGGAAGGGGGGAGGCAACAAGGACTCTTAACTTTTATACGTCATAGTAATAAGTGATTACGGAATTAACTTCAAAGACTTTTGCCTATAAGTAAGGCAATTAATGTTCTACACACAACAAATAAACTAGCTAGTAGCATGCATTTCTAGATGTAAGATTAGCACAAATGTTGTTTGAAGGTTAAGGGCCTTGCAGTTATTGTGTATGGGATCAGTTCAAAACTTTAAACGAGTCACCCATCCAAAATTGTAAAATATTATTTTCTAAATGAATCTTTCCTTGAACTCCAAACGGATTATGATTGCTTCTTCCAGTTACTACAACCACCATAAAACAAACTCTTTTTTGTGTATGTATTAAAAAAAACATATTTGCTTTATCCGTATTTTGTATATCGGCAAGAAAGCATTAGAAAATACAAACACGTTTTTTAGAAGTTCTATTGACTTCTGAAGTCAACAGTTTCCGGTACCTTAGGTTTCCAGTGTCCACGAATTCCTCCCAGTGGCAACGTTCCGTGCATTCCACCTAATCATTATGCTAATTTAATCATAGTTCTTATAATTAGCTCAGGGTCGTTACATTGTTCTTATCTCCATTGTCCCTTTGTTCTCTTCATTGTTCTCTGACACAATAGACGCTCATTGTTAGTAGGTGAATGGGTTGGTTGAAACCCCTGGAGGGGTATTGGCCAGAGATCTCGTTCTGATATTTTTAGCTGTATTGCAATATGTTTTGCAATATTTTCATCGTAATTAAAATGGCATTCTCTTAACACAGTAGATTTAATTTACATGCAGAATGAACATGAATATAAGCTTAGTATTCGAAAGTAAAAAATATCTTTGGCTTAATCATGCGGATCATGTTTATTTACTGCAATACATTAATACAGCAACTTCTGTCTAAATGTTTGGCTTTATCACAACTTTCTGACAACATCTTCATAGTTATGATAGAATTCCCCAATATAGTCCAAGCATATTGTCTATAATTCCATATAATGCCATGTTACTTTTCTTTTTAGAAATTATCTATATGGAAAGGGCAATAGCTAGCTGATTCTAAGAATAAATCTCACTAGGCCATAATGGATAGAGAGTGTGATCTTGAGTCGATCATTACTTCGCCGGTTCGAATCCCACTTTATAAAGTAGAGACCGGTCTTTTGGATGAGACCGTTTCACCCAATGTCCCTGTCGCAGTCGGTGCTGGTACGAAAAAGACAAATTCCTGCTCAATGGCCCTGAGTGTTAAGTATAGGACAAAATTTGTATCTCTCCACCGGCAAGTGGTTGCGTCTCCATGTGAGTGAAAAATTTCGAGAGGGACTTTAAGCAACATATAATAATTAGATCAACCACTAGGCCATCATTTAAAGATTGTTTGTTTGCCCTATCCTGACCGACTCAAAACTAAAATGACCCAGTTCAAAAGTATTTTTGGCATTCCAGAATACGATGTTTTTTTTCTTTTCATTCCTCCTATGCAGTAAAAAAATACTGTATGTCGAAAATTTTTGGAAGATTTTCCGAACTATCAACCGACCCAACATTTTCACCCAGAATCGGATCAGGGCAGTGAAACATTATTTCAAAGATGATCCTATTGTTAAATATATACATGTCTAAATGAAAGTGTTTCTTGTATTAAAACATTAATTATTGTATGAAAAACTAATGCAGTGAGCACCAACCTTCCAAAACAGCAGAGAAGACTGGAAAAAAGAAGGAATATAGCTTCCAAGTGGGTTTTTATACCCGATTTTGCGTGTGGGTTTTCTTTATTGCGCATGTCAAGAATTTTAAAATTATTACTAAGAACTTTAAATAACACTCCGAGAAATATATATATATATATATTACATTACAGTTTTGCAATTTAAGATATTTAAAACTATTTATAACAATGACGTACTCTTGATATGTTTCAAACAAATCCCCGTGAAAGCTAATAGCTCAGTAGCCACAAAGTTTTGTATAAATGAAAATATAAAACAATAAAATGAAATAAAATCTTGTTTCCTCTCGTTTATAGAAATTTACTTTAATATTGTATATTCGTTTTCTTGCGAGAAATATTTAAGATTGAAAAATAAAACTATATCCTATGAAGTGAATCAATGTTATTCAGGAAATTATTCACAGATAAGGAAGAAATTATAAAGTAAGATAAAAGTTTTCAGCTACTCCTTTTAATGATCTTGGTCTAAAACAAGGATCAAATTGTTTTACTTGAGGATGCCTGGATTTGAAATTAATATTTTCTCAACTTTTCTGTTTAATAGCACGAATTATATGTTGCCATAGTACTTCAGATATTTTTAATTGAAATTATTGAATCTAGGTTTTTCGGGATGCTTTTGATTGATGTACCCTTGCACTTTCACAAAGTAAACTTTTTTCTTAGTGCTGAAGAAAGTAGAAATTTTTGGTGCAAATATTTTAAAGAAAAATATTAAAATCAGGGTCGAGAAACGTAAAAGGCAAATATTGAAAGTCCGTGCTCGTTGATGTGTTCAGAGTTTATCAAATACAACAAACTCGGTAAAGAAAACATGACATGAGTTCTAATATTGGAAATATATAATTATACGGACGAAGGACAAACTGCTGAATATAGCACAAAAGTGCCACAAACATGAATTGAAATCCAAATCATATCCCAATTTTCTTTAATATTTCATTTAACATTAAAGTATACTAAATGAAAAATAACTATTATAATTTACGAAAGTCTCAATAAGACTGAAATTATTTGCCTATGATAAAAGCATAAATATAATAATAAAGGACAGAAAGATCATTTTCTCATACTATAGCATTTTTTTTTTTCATTATGAGTGGGTCTTCGCTCCAGTTTTTGAAAGATAATTCTAAAAGTTTGCAATAAAATATTCCTATACATATTTTGGTTTACAAAAACGTGGAGCAAAGACCTGAGGCCTGTACAGCAGAGGGAACGTTCGCGAGCGCTCGCCAAATTACTATTGGAGGTATAAGGAATTTTGGCGAGCGAACGTTCGCCCTGCTGAACAGGCCTCTGCTATACCTTTAAAGTACACTTGTATGATATAAGTCTGTTAACTCAAAACATGATTTAAATGCCTAATTCATCATAGGTGTCGGAACCGGGGTGGGCTGGGGCAGGGGGCCCCCCCCCCACTTTTTTTTCGAAATATATACTTATAATAGACATTGAACATATCTGCGTAAGTTTAGCCCCCACACTTTTCACAGGTACATCTTAGTATAAGTTAAAAGTACAGGGAAAGTAGCGGTACTGAAGATCGATCCTAACCGCCCCCCCCCCACGAAATAGGATTTTCGTGTTTGGGAAATGGACATTTCCTTTTTTTTTTGCTCGTCAGGTTTTTTTATTGGAAGATACGAAATTATTTTTTTATACTTAGCCCCCCCCCCCCCCCCCCACTTTCAATTTGCTTCCGACGCCAATGTTCATCATGAGCCATGTGGCGTAGTGGTTAGACTCAAAATAGTATTATACTCCGGATTTTTATTGCTAGAGTTTGAATCCGAAGAATACCATCTTAATATATTTTTATAAAAGAGTAATTTTTCCGAGATTTTTTATCTCAGAAAAGGTTTGTTTCTCATAATTCCCTGAATTTCAATGATGAGAGCTTAATCTGAATATTCAGTTCACAAACTGAATATGATTTTCTAATATCTGAAGCTATAGATATTCATCGTCGGAAACCCACGGGTGATCTCGTCTTTAGTTATCACCCGGTGATAAGTAAAGACGAGATCACCCACGCAGGGGGGATAAGGAAGTATACAAAATATTAACCTTGACTTAATCAGTGCTACATTATGACGTTATAGAAGGCAAGATGACGTCAATTCTAGAACGCAAGTTTTCGTATTTTTGGTATTTAGAGACGTAATTTAACTCTAGAAAATTATTAGAAACATGTAAACATTACCAAAATGAAATGCTCTTATTTTGTTATGCTGTATAATGTAATTTTGATTAAAATCCACCACCGATGACGTCATATATGTACATCAAGAAACTTTGGAATTTACCATGTCGTGTAAAGAGAATTTGACTAAGACGGTATGTACAAAGATGTGTAGAATGGAGTTTAAAAGCAAATATCGTGCATATTTTGTGAAAATCATATGGTCTGATTGATTGTATACTGTTTAACGTCCCTCTCCAGAATATTTCACTGATATGGAGACGTCTAAAAAATCATATGGAGTTCAGTTAATAAAACAGGTATGCTAATTTATTTTCATCGATTATATTCTCTTTTGAAGACAGTCAGCTTTATACATATCTCGGACGGCCTTTCCTCTGTCATTTGTGACAAAAATAATGCAACAGAACAACAATAAGCTTTGAATTTCAAAACATGAGATTTGTACAGATTGAAAGTTTGCCTCCTAAAATACTTGGAAAGTGCTGCTAGAATCCCAAATTAAGCATGGTTTTACGAAAAATCTCGGTTCATATGTGAAAAATTCAAAACATCGGGTAAAGTTTTGTGCGAATGTGTGGAATAATTATTTTACTGACGGGACAGCGGGGTTCTAGCAGCACTTTTTAGGCTAAATAGATGTTTTTCAAATGTATTATTTACTCAAAGAAATGATTTAACTCCGGGGTATTGTTGTTCTATTAGCTTTTTTATTAAGGAAAATTTCGCTATTAAGAGAAGTCACGTGATGCCGCGGTGGTGGTACACGTCGTTGCATTAGACACTCTTTTATCTTTATGCAATAAAAAATAATAGTTTATGTTTATCATCGGTTTTTGTAAATTATTAAACTTAATTTTCTTTAAAAAGTCTAAATTTCCCGAAAAATGACTTATATGCTTCCTTAACATACCCGCGCATGGGTTTCCGACGATGATAGACATTATACACGCCTTGTTCCTTCTTGTTCTTCTTTCTAACTTAATCTAAACTAACTGATTCTTTTTTGCAATCATGACATAAGATTTCAATTGATTGGTCTATTGTTTTGTAGAAATTGATTCTTCAAGCACTTTCTGCGCAGTCTGTAATAATATAAACGGGATTTATAACTTTTCTGTTCTTTAGAAGTTTTATCCCATATAAAACTTTGATCACGCATTGTTGCCCTAGTTAAAGCAACGGCGTAATGATTTTAACCAACTCTGTCTACGGGTGCTTCCACAGAAATAGTCATAAATATCTAAAGTGAAATATCCCTCTACGCCATTCAATATTAAAAAAAAATCCTTACAATGACTTAAAATAACAACAACGGCATTAGATTAAAATGGAAAATAGTTTGAAGTATGAAGCGTTGCTTATTTTTTTTTCAGAAATGAATCCTATGTCTAATCAAGCATGATGTAGAGAAAGTCACCACATGGAAATACATTCAATAAAATAAAAATCTTACATAGTGGGAACTCTTTGAGGAATGATTCTCTTGCTGTGAATTCGTTTGAATGGAAGCATCATTAGATTGTGTAGATTCATATCTGTTCAAATCATAATTCAAGGGGTAGGGAGGGGCCATAATTCGGACGAAATTTTTACAGAGTAATAAATAGGGAAAAAAATCTTTCAAGAACAGGAAAGCCAATGTTATTGAACAAAACCACTTATATTTAAGAAAATGACATACCCGGTCTTGTAGAGTAGGCTTTCCCCCTAAAATCCCCCCCGGAAAACTGGCTCAAGCGTAGGATCCCCCCCAGGAAAACAGGCTGTAGAGTAGGATTCCCCCTGGGGAAATTCCACACCAGAGTCAATTTTCCGGGGAGAAATCCTACTCTGTATTGTAGTTACAGAGTGCGATTTCCCCCAGAGCCAATTTTCCCCCCGATCAAATATAATTTAAGGACAGATGATACAAACAAACCGTGAAAATTACAATTTAAGTCTTATATAGATATTAAGTAAAATGAAAGTCATTTTAAATCTTTCATTAAAAGTTTCACAAAATTGGGATTTAAGAAGTTGTAATATGACCAAAAAAATTGTATAGATTAATAAGGATGGTTACAGAAAGTCGGAAATTTGAAGTTTACAACTTTTTAATATTTTAGAAAGTTTATTATAATTGTAATCATTTACAACCAAAATAGGTCCAAAATTAGACATGTACCAATCCAGATATCCATTTTTGTTTGATTCATTATGTTTTGAGAATATTTACATTTCTTTTGAAATCTATATATTTTGGTTGAGATTCCATGATTTGCCTTACATCTCGAATGAAATCCCTAATTTACCTCTTAAAAATCAGTTTCTCATTAATCTTTTTTTTCCAAAAAACATTGCGGCTGTGGTTTATATTAACTCTATAACGAGGGGGGAACCCTACTCTGAGAGAGAAAGAGGGGAACTTTGGCTCTGATGTGAGATTTCCCTTATTTTTAAAAACACGGTATGACTTACTGAGTACCAAGATTTTTTTTACTGTCAATTTTTTTTAACAAATGAACTACCACCCCTACCAATATGCTACATGTATTTGTCTTAAAGTCAACTGAATATCATCAGTAGTGATAATTTGTTAAATATTGGCAAACATGCAGTACATTGCTTTTTGTAAGTGATACCCATAATATCATCTTTGTTCATTGAAATCCACCTGCTCATGTGTCTGTAAAACATACATTGTTTGCTGTAAATTTCAGTGAAATAATAATAATTATATCAGTGAAATTTCTTTGGGGTTCTTAACAGATTGATACAACACAGTTTTTAGGGATCGTACAGTAAATATATAGAACAGAAAACTTCAAACAAAAAACAGCGAATCTTATAGGTGTAACCTTGCACATTTATACTAGTATTTCAACACGATATTACCCAAAGCCAGATGTTAAATAGCTATCGTGCAAAGGTACAATCAATGTATAATTAAAAAAATTTATCGTGACAAACTTTGCTATTTAATAAAGAAATCGATTTACAACTTTATAACCTAAAAATTCCCAAACAACGGCTACAATTTTCTTTCGGAATAAATTTATAGCTCACCCATTTACCCTCCAGGACATTCTTAAAACTGCAAACGCCAAATTCTCCTATTTAATAAAGTTATAATTAAGGGGGCCAACTTTAGTTTTATTGTGTGAAAACTACAATAGCGAAACTTTTCATTTTTATACCATATATAACTTACATTAACTTCAGTGTACATGCAAAGTTTGGGGGAAATCTATTGTCCAGGTATTTTTAAAGGACCGTCTCAAAATACAGGTACATTTACTATAGGATTATATAGGAAAATGCCAATTTTTAGCACTTTAAAGCAAATTACACAAATACTACAATAGACATTTTGTTCAAACTATAATATTTTATGAATAATACTATATTATACAATATATGTAAGAACCACAAAATTCTACCGTCTTGTTACCAGAGGGGGCATCTTAAAATGCAAAAAATTAGCAGATTTTACTATTTTTATAGAGTATTACAAAATATGACGTACACCATGGATTCACATGAAAACATGATGAAATATTGGAAATATTCTCAATTTTTTATGTTTTAAATTTCAAGAGCGTATGTTTAATACTTTTTCTTTAATAATATTTTTATTTTGATATAGAATATTCATTAAGGAAATCAATTTGAATCATTTTCGCATCAATTCTGAAATTTGAATAAATTCTTCCATTTTATTCAAATACAGATTTGAAGAATACTTAAAGTCTCTATCTATATGCAGGAATTAAATTAAATGAATTTTTCCTTATCATGAAATACTGACTTGAAGTATTACCAAGTCCCTCTCAGAATGAGGTAATTTAGTTTTAAAAAATATGAATGTCGGTGTACTTCAAACAAATTAAAAAGTTTTTTAATGATGGCATAAATTTTAAAATTGTACCATTTTACAGAATATACTAACTTAAAGGTCTTTATCTGTCAACTGAATAGGGATTGAATGAATTAATTTTTCCATTTATTTGAAATATTGACTTGAACTATTCTTAGGTCCCTTAATCTGTCTGCAGGAATTGAATTCCTATATACAGGGAAATTTTTGTCCCCTTTTAATTTTGTCCCTTTTGCCCTACCCTCCGTTGGGCAAATTTAAAACTGGCCGAATTCAAAGAATACAGTATAATTTCTTAAACAGAACTGTGACTGGACAAATTCAAGAACAGGCAAAATTCTTTGCAAATGTAAAAGGGCAAAAATAAAGTGAGGCAGAAATAACCCTGTATACAGACTTATAATACTGTATACAGGGTTATTTTCGCCCCGTCTTATTTTCACCCTTTCACATCTGAAAACAAGTTTGCCCCATTTTAAAAAGATTTTTGATTTAAGATATTATACTGTTTACATTGAATTCGCCCCGTTTTAAATTCACCCACGCCAGACTAGGGCAAAATTTTCCCTGTATACAGTAATTATTAATTTTTCCGTTTTATTGATATACTGACTTGAAGTATTCTAGGTCCCTGTCTGTCCGTGGAACGTCCTTGTCAATGACACGGAGATGGTCATACAAGTTCTTCACACTTATCTTCTGTCTGTTCACATAAACCTATAAAAGTAAAACAAAAAATATAGCAGTTATCAGTCATTGATTATAGGTTTTCAAATCTGTTATTTTATGCAAAATACAAAATTCCTTCTGCCTTCTTGCCAGTTCAATTTTCAACAACAAGAGGTCGTTAGTCCGAAAGCAGACAGTTTGGTTCGAGGTTCTAGAAAAAATGTTTTGAACAAATTTATTTTTAAATAAATTAAAAATTTTGTGTAATTTTCATGTATTACATAATTTAATCATCTTTATGATTCCCCAAGAATTAAGTGTCTACCATAAAGTATCCACTGATCATTGTTCTTGATTATTCATGATAATTTCACTCATAAACTTACCGGTAACTTTAGAGCATTAAGGACAGATGATACAAACAAATTTTTGTCAAAGAATTTGAAAATAACAAATTGGATCACGTTTAAATAATTAAAATGAATAGCTTTCACGGTGTAGTTTTTAATTTTTTATTCAAATTTGCACAAAAATGGAATTTGAAGTGAAAAATATTTGTATACTAGATTAATAAGGATGGTTTCAGAAGGGCATGCTTTTGAACACCACAGAAGGTTTACAATTTCTTTTTATTCTAGAAATTTATTATTTGCATTATTTGCAATGAAATTAGGCCAAAAAATATATACCAATCCAGGAATCCATTTTTTGTTTGTATCATCTGTCCTTAAAGAAGTATAGGTTTTATAATAAAAATCTTCGGAATTAATGCTGCCAAAACTAAATTATTGTTTATATCCAATGTACACGATGTAGGTTTTAAGGGAAACGACTATATTTTTATTGTGCGAAAACTGCAATAGCAAAACTCTTCATTTTTATACCATACATAACTTACATTAATTTCAGTGCACAGGCAAAGTTTTGGGGAAATCTACTGTCCAGGTATTTTTGAGAGACCGTCTCAAAATACAGGTACATTTACTATAGGATTATATAGGAAAATGCAAATTTTCAGCACTTTAAAGCAAATTTAACAAATACTACAATAGACTTTTTGTTCAAACTATACTTGATGAGTTATACTGTGTTATACAATATATGTAAGAAACACAAAATTCTACCGTCTTGTTACCAGAGGGGGCATCTCAAAATGCAAAAAAAATTAGCAAATTTTACTATTTTTATAGAGTATTACAATATATGACGTACACGATGGATTCACATGAAAACATGATAAAAATATTGGAGATATTCTCAAATTTCTATGTTTTAAATTTCAAGAGCGGATGTTTATTACTTTTTCTTTAATAATATTTTTATTACCCCTTTCTTTAGGAGCTACAGATTATCATAACGTCAAAAACACACTGCAACGACGTCAACCTACTTATCAATTGCAAAATCGGTTAAAAAATCAGTTATATCAAATTGTAATTACATTTTTATACCTATAATTTCTTAATTTTGTTTAATTTTAATAAATAAGCGAAAAAAGTTGCATTAAAACAGTAAATACGTTTCATTTTACTATGATGCGCGAGATATTGCGCAATGAAAACTATAGTCGGCCCCCTTAAATATGTTTGATCTAAATTAATAATTTTCATTTTTTAATATATATTTTCTGAATGTATATTCAGAACTGGACACAAAAATAGCTGTACACAAAATGAAGCAAAGTAAAGCAAAATAAGTTGGACATGCAGATAATTTGTTCAGTCGGTCGTCAATAGGGCATTAATATTGGGTTTTTCTAGATTCTAGGTGGATGGGGTAGGGGTGGTGGTGGAATCAAACTCCGACTGCGATGTTCCAAAAATTTGAGTCTTTGGCATATATAAATATATATGACATAAGTGTTAATACTGTTTTGTGCGACTCCTGCGTCCAAAATGTATCAAAATTTCATAATTCAAATTGCGTGAAATATTTCCTCTTATTGTATTTTTTAAAAAAATATACAACATTGACTACTATTTGCAATTGATTAATAAAGACTTCATATTCATTAATTGGTGGCTGTTGAATAAAAAAGGTTTATATATATATTTAATTTGGTATTATATCCAGAGAAAAACATTCTATTTGACAAATTTATCATTTATTATTTTAAACATAAATGGCATTTCCATCAGATAATAGTATTGTATTGATTAAATCCGTCTAATTTATTATTTTTCTGTGTGAGATAGTTGTGCAGGTCGCTGATAAATATGATTTTGGATATTTTTATCCCCTCTGCACACGTCATAAAATAAACAAAATAAAATGAAAAGCACAAGCAGCCCCCTTTGTTCACATTTTAAAATCATGTTATTTAAACAATAAAATGCATTCTCTGTTTGTTATTACTGGAATTAACGGAAATTTTGGTATCATCGCAGTCGCAGACAATTTGTTCAGTCGGTCGTGGTGGTGGTGGAATCAAACTGCGACTGCGATGATACCAAAATTTGAGCTATTGGCATAGATATGACATAAGTGTTACACAGCCTTATCTAAATATTTCCTTGATTGTAATAAATTTATTCAGAGTATAACTTAATGATTCTAGAAAAGGAAAATCAGAAACTCTTCCTTTGTAGATGAATACGTGTTTCCTTTTTGTAGACCCCCGATCTCATGACTGATCTTCCCGGTCCTTGTCAATAAAATCTGAATTCCCAATTGTATTTTAACCACTGTTTATTACCTTCATTTTTTTTTTTACGTAATACGGTGTTGAAAAACAATTCATCCTTGAGCTTTACATATGCACTAGCTACGATACTAAATATTTCCTTTTAAAGAAAAACAACATTATATTTATCTTTTTATGCATCTTTTTCACTTGTAACTCTATAGGTTAAGGAAATTTTTTTTGCCAATGTTTTTGGCCTAGACCTAAATATCAGGTTTCCTTATCTTACCCAGTGTAACTGACTAAATTTTAGAATTTTTTCTTAGTTTATTTAGTCAGAAACTGTTTTCTTTCATAAAAGTATCTTTAACATCTTTGAAAAATTTGTCAAAAGTCTCTGTTTACCTTTCATAATAGATATTTATGTATGCCAGATCTTTATAAGACGAACAACTTGCTGGATAGTTCCTTTCGTCATCACTTGAAGGTGGACTATTTAAGATGCTTGATTCTACATCCTCTCCAGGTTCAGATAATGAGCATGATGAAGAATAAGTTGATGAAGAAGATGATGTGCCTTTCTCTCTCAGGGACAAGTCTCCTGTCTTAATGGAAGTTGTTGTTTCAATCTGCAAATTTTTAAGGAAATGGAAAATGCAAATAAAAAAGAAGAGCATGGCAAAGTGCAATTCCATCACCAAAAAAAATCATATCTATACATCATATTCGTGCTTTTTCTTTATTCACCAAAGGTACATGCTTCGGGAATAAATCTTAAATCATAGTATAACGACGTTATTATTTTACTACACATTAAAATTTATTTCTGAAACAAGTGTCTATATGGAATTCACCTCATAGTAAGAACTTTTTATACCTTTTGCTGCAGGGTTCGACACTAACATTTTTAAAGCTTTAAGTATGCGCACAAATTTTATGAGTCCGTCAAAAAATCTATAAATATATAGAATAGACAATGCAATTTAGAGTACTGTAAACCAACTTTATTCGCGTGCGAGAAATTTTCGCAAAGTTCGCGACATCCTCGTCATCGCGAATATTTCTCGCTGCGAACCGGTACTTAAAGTCTCTCTGTCTATTTAAAACAGATGGAAAAAGGCTTTGATCGCGAAAATTAGTCGTCGCTAAATAGTTTACCCCAGGTAAATCGCGAAATAAAGTCGTCGCGAATAAAAGTTGGTTTACAGTATATTTTTTTTTTTATAATTTCTCTAAAAAAACAATAAAATGAAATGCTTTATTCCAAGAATCATCGAAATCTTGTAATCAGGAACTACGATCATATTCCCAATCTCATTGGTTTCTATCTAATTATGATTACATCATCCAAACATCCGACGTCTTTCTTTATGATTCAAATAGCTAATTCATGATCGCTAAAATGTTTAATTTCATACGCTGATTAGAGGGTTTACCATTTAAAATTGTTGAGAGGTGAACATCCATAACTTATTTATTTTCTTCCCAGATTTTAAACAAATTTTATTTGTCCCTTCGACTAATATAAGCCAAAGATTTTATTAGTCCAAATGAAAATGTTTTAGTCTTAGACTAAAGACTAATGTTAATGTCGAACCCTATGCTGTGTTTTCCAGAATATTTAAAAGGGATTTTACATTACTGGCAAATATTCACTACAGGTCAAACAACTATATAAAGCAGTTTGGATACCTATATCATATTTCAATTGAATAAAAACATAGCAGAATTTCTGACATAAAGACTAATGTCAACAAAAAGGCTGTCAATAAAAAAAAAACCTCTCATGAAAAGTAATTGATTTCAAAATTTCTTGTTTTGGGCAGTCGATCCCTCCCAAAGTAAGTTTGTAAATGACAATAAAAATTCTACCCCTCTTTACAGAGTGGGTTATATAGAATAAAATTGAGCTTTCTTTTTTGGCCATGTAGACTTATCATTTTGTCATTTACATACTTACATGGAAACTCTTAAAGACAGCTAAAGTGGACTAAAAAATTACCAAGCTTGGATTGTTATACTGTGTATGATAATTTGCTTTCCCTCTCCGGAATTACTTTTTCAATGGCCTTGTTCATTAGACGACATACCATTCTGTTTATCTACAAAATAAACTAACTTGAGACATACCTGTATCACACGCTCTAGGGATTTATCTAAAAATTAAAAAAAATTGACTACCCTTCAGGTCCATTCCAAAGACTATTTTTACCTACATAGCTATTTTAAAAAAAACGATGAACCCACAAGTGGCGACTTATTCTTTATGAGTTAAGGACCACTATTACATTACGACGATTTCGGAAAATACTACCCAACTCTTGCTTTTTGAATGGTATTTGTCTCACTATCACAATATATTTATTTGATTACATCACTTTCCTTAATTATTTGTGAAATATTGGATAATGTGTTTTATTTAGCTACGGATTATTTAAGTCTCGTTCAAATGCACGAGCTTGCGAGTGCATTTGAACAGCCAACGAGTGCGAATATTCACCACTATAAGTTCAATAACTCATTTATTATATAGCTGAAACATTTCCACATAATTTATAATAATTATTCCTACTCAAAAAAACCTCCAAAATATAATTTTTTTTGGTATCGGTATTTAAATTAACGTCTGTCCTGTCAGCATTCAATATCGCATCATTCCGATAACCCTACCGAGCGATATGATTTGCTTATTTAGGTTTAAATGGGTCTGATACGTACTATATTTTAATAAATAATTTCATTTTTGTGTGAAACATAAACACATCTTACCTAGATGCCATTTCTTTTCTTTAATTTAGCTCTGAGAATTTGACCAGACGACTTTTTTGTTTACAACGGAATGTTTCGGGCATACTCATATTCGTAATACAAAGTTAGCGTTCAATAAAACGTCAAGATATTGAACGTTTAAATTCTCTAGATTTTTGGTTGTATTTTATTAGAGACTATTTATTAGCTATATAATAAAGATCCATTACTGAATGCATGATGCAAAAGGCGACTACACGTCTAAATTTGTTGAGCGGAGTTTTTTTTTTTACTTATTTCAGCAAAGCTAGTTTGAACAAACAGGGTATTGTGTCGGTCTCTTCATCTTTTGAGCGAAGTCTGCAAACTTTTCATATTTCCTTACTTATTCATAGAATCACTTGTTGAAATGATAGCAAGAAGATATTGAGAGACCTTAGTTTGCCGTTGAGAGGCTTTAATTAAGGTCAAGATCTAGTAAATGAAAGGTGCCTACAGATTTATCAAACTTGAGAAATAAATTCCTTTATTGATGCTTTACAACTTTAGCTTGGTCAAATAAGGCGTTTCGGGGCATAATTTATAGTTAAACAAGATGAAACTGTATTTTAAACTGTCATTTTCAATTAAAAATAAAGAAAATCAGTCAAGAATACGGGAGTTTTTTTTCGTATTTGGCAAAGGAAATGTATCCAGGTTGCCTACAGTCTCAAAAAACGGTAATTAGTATGTTCATGGCCTCTTCTTTAAGTCAATATTAAATTTTATATAGGTATGCGGTTTACTTTTCATATAATTTCAAATTGAGTGACATGAAAATACCCCATTTTCTACATAATTCTGCTAAAGCCGTAAAATACGGGAAAAAGAAAGTTGAAATTTATTATGACGTCATAATGGATCTAGCACCAAAAAATTAGTCTCAACCTATTTTACTAGATCTTGACCTTAAATTAAAACCTGTATTCGATACTAACTACCCCCAGGGCTTTGAGAAATCTTTTCTAGTTTACCTTTAAATAATAATTTATACTTTTAATAAAGTTATTATTATGTGGTTACTATTATTTATTATTCTAAGAATTCACAAAAAAGAAAGTTATTATAAGGAATTTGAGAATGAACTTTGAAGAGGATGTAAAAATTAACATTAGATTGAAAATAGCGAATAATTTGTTTTCAAGCTGTAGACATAATATATTTTTTAACTATACTTCATGCTAAGTATTTTCATTTGATAGTAATATTTTAAATCTTAATAATAATATAGATTTTGAATCGATGGCCGAATTCAATCACTAAAGTAAAATCACTAATCCCCTATCATCTACTATTTGGGAAGTCAAATTTTAAAATGCAGGATTTATACCTTTCTTTAAAATGTCAAAATGGGCCTGCTTTTGGCCAAAAAAAATTCTAAAGAGAGAATTTTTGATTGTATTAAATGCTAGCTACATCTATGATAAGTGTTGTCTCCTTGCTTCGGGGCACTTTTGATCTAATTTCACTTTTACCTATAATGAATTACTAGGCCTAGTACATGACTTATATTTGTGGAAAAGTGAGACTGAGATCAAGAGTGAGCTCATCTAAGTTTTATGGCAACAGAGCCTGCATGCTACAATTTGAAAAATATATGACACGTACATTATTTTCTTTTTTATACATTCATATATGTATGGCAGAGATTCTTTTGTTAGCATTTCTATATTTGTATTACTGAGCATTGCCAAACCCTCTAAATCCGTCGCTATTCCTAACTACATCACTTTCCGGAAACTCCATGCAGTTTGTAAATGAGAGCAATTCTGATGTACATTATGTAATGTGTGCAATCTACAATCACATTCAAAGCTGCTATAGCAATCAAGTTAAAAAACGTCAAAGCAAATTTACACTAATTATATTACAGGTATCATATTGAAATCAGTAAGCATCTTTTCCCCTTATGTGCTATTCCAGAACTGCGTTAACATGGTCATTTTTACAATGTCTGTCATTTTTATGAAGGTCTATTACAAAGTTCAACATGACTACTGCATGCTGAATAGGGCTAAATTACTTTATTTTTTGTGTACAATTGCATCAATGTACTACGCGTTGTGATAACGTAAGCGCAACATTTTACATATATAATACGTTATAAAAACGTTCTTTGTGTATATTGCTGATGCCTTTCTAAACATGAAATTTAATACTATTTGAAGTCTTTTAGGCCACACCAATAAAAAAATTTGTTCGTCGGACCCGTGCGCTCATATTGAAACAAAACTTTACAAATAATATTAATTCAAAATTCCCGCACCATGGGAATTCTGTGCTGTTTTCTTTTCAATTTCCGCTTTATTTATGGTACTTTTAATCTACTTACTCTGCAAATTAGAAAAAATATAAGCCTCCGCTCAATTTTTTATAACGCCCCGCCTAAAAAAATTTTCTACAATAAAGTAATAATAGTATTATTTAACCGCTAGCCCGCTCGTACTTTTTTTCATCAAATGTCCAACGAACAAGAAATTAAATTGGTATGGCCTAATACAATTTTTCATGTTTAAATTTAAGAAAAGGTATGAAGAGTTTAACTAGGAGGGATTCTTTAATACGTTGGAATATTTTAAAGGATCTGGTGACAGAGTTAGGATACACTGAACAAAATGCTACTGGCAGGATACTCGTTCTATTTATTGTTTTATGTAAGCCCGGTGTCTCCACTTTTTTGTTAATATCATTAAATATAATGCTCATCCTTATTACTGTGTAACTAGCCGCAGATCTGTATCTCCCCCCCCCCCAAAAAAAAATGACAGATATGAGAGCTACAGTGCCATCCATTGAAAAAAAACTGTATATATATATATATATAAATATATATATATATATA